TTTCTGACTAAGGGACTGACGACGTTGTTTGCAAAGGTCTGGGAACTAGAGAGTGTACCAACGTCTTGGGATGAGTCGATAGTTGTCCCTATCTTTAAAAAGGGTTCACGTTGTTCTTGTAACAACTATCGGGGGATAAGTCTACTTTCGATTTCGTCCAAGCTATTGGCTTCCGTCATACTTCGTAGGTTGTTCAAAACCCGAGAAGGATTGACTCGCGAGGAGCAGGCTGGGTTTCGTTCCGGTCGAGGATGTATTGATCATATCTTCACCCTCCGCCAAGTGTTAGAACACCGCCATACTTATCAAAGGCCAACAATCGTAGTGTTTCTTGACATCAGGACTGCCTTCGATTCGTTGGACAGAACTGTTCTCTGGGATTGTCTATTAAAGAGGGGTGTGACTGAGAAGTTTATTAACATCCTAAAAGCCCTATACACAAACACCTCAGGCAGAGTGAGGGCATACAACCACCTTTCTCCACTATTCCATTCGAGCAGTGGGGTTAGACAGGGTTGCCCAATCTCACCATTCCTCTTCAACTTTGCCATCGATGGCATTCTGGAAACAGCTCTGATGGATGTAAGTAATGGTGGTGTGAATCTGATGCCTGGAGAAAGACTTCTCGACCTTGAGTATGCTGATGATATTGTCTTACTGTGCGAGAATGTTCAAGCCATGCAATCCTCACTTAATCAGTTGGCAATCAGTGTCCGTAGGTATGGTATGTGCTTCGCACCTTCGAAGTGTAAAGTTCTTCTACAAGACTGGCAGGATTCTAATCCTGTACTCACTCTGGACGGTGAGCAGATAAAAGTAGTCGAGAAGTTCGTGTATCTAGGTAGCTGCATAAGTGCTGGTGGTGGCGTGAGTGATGAGATCAATGCACGTATAGTGAAAGCCAGAGCGGCTTATGCCAATCTGGGCCATCTTTGGCGCCTTCGTGATGTTAGTCTGGCTGTAAAAGGTCGGATCTACAACGCGACGGTGAGAGCAGTTTTGCTCTATGCTTGTGAAACCTGGCCTTTCCGAGTTGAGGATGTTAGACGACTCTCTGTGTTCGATCATCGCTGTCTCCGAAGGATTGCTGGCATCCAGTGGCAACACCATGTCAGTAATGCAGAAGTTCGGCATCGTGTGTTCGGTCACAGAGACGATAATGAAATTGGCGTCACCATCTTGAAACACCGACTTCGGTGGCTTGGACATGTTCTACGAATGTCGTCCCAGAGAATTCCTCGTCGTGCATTATTTGCCGACTCTGGGACTGGTTGGAAAAAGCGGAGAGGTGGTCAGTATATGACATGGTCTCGTGGTATGAAAGAAAGCTGCAAAGGGATAGCTTCTGTTGGTCCTTCACGACTCCCTGGCTGGGGTCCGAGAGACGTTGTAACACAGTGGCTATAGACGTTATCAGATATGGCTAAGAATAGAAGCCAATGGCGATCTTGCTGTAACCTTCTTTTACTTTCTTCATAAAAAGTGGTTGTATCTTCCTTAACTGAAAGATTTCTTCTGATTGTACCTTTCCGCTTTCCCCATCATTGTTCTCTCTTTTTTTTATAATTTCCCACGTGCATTACTTTTTTTTCTTTTCTTTTTTTCTCCTCTTCAAATTCTCATTGTTTTGTGTGGCGCATATATATTTGGTGCCCCTTGTACCAATATTTATGTGTTCAAATAAATAAATAATCCTAGGTAGTAGTTCCAGTATTCAACTGGCATGGTGATTGTTCACAATCCCAGAAATCAAGTGAGTCTGTTCCGATTTCCGTTGTTAATTCTAATACTAATGAGTGCATCCTAGATAATACAGAGTCTTTATCCAATAAACTGTTGGACAGACACAGGATGAACTTAGGAAGAAGACGTGCAATCAATTACAGACACCTGGACTCCAATTTAAGCTGCGGCGGATGTGGTGCTTGAATGAAATAATGATTGCTTTGTACTTGTTTAATGTTTGATTTCGAATTCTAAATACAGTACGTTCGTTAGTGTTTGTGTAGTACTTCTTGATTCAATTGCGTTATCTCTGGATTCTTAGTTCATACTATAATTCAATTACTCGTAATTATCATAGCAACCCAAGGTGACTAATTAACGTAACAGATACGCAGCACGGCATATTCAAGTGTGATCTGGTGCAGATATATGACCAATCATCATCCAGGAGTGTGTTCAGTCAAGCTAGCAAGGTCAGAATAAGTGTTGAAGACTTACTGTTTATTTTTGGTCTTTCAAACCATCGAAAATTTATACAGAACAAAAAAAATCTATTTTCACATAGCAAATGTAGGAACAGAATTTATTCAACAAACACCTTTTTGATTGAATATGGTCGGTAAAGATGACCGCCAAAACAAGTATATACATATACTGGAGTTAAAAGGGTCAGTTTTGATCTCTATTATTAATTCTGACTCTTATAAGTTTAATCAAGGCTCTAAGGTTACTGTACCAAATACAGAGTCAGATAGACATTTGATTAACCTAAGGCAAATTCGTACTACAGATTACAGATCTGCATTTAAGTCATGGCGGATGTCGTGCTTGTGCTAATTAGCAATTCTTTTATACATTATCTCAAGTCTCGATCGAATTAAGGAATACGATACCGTTGTACGAATTCACTGATTCCTTTTTGAAATGAATGCTGGTCCATTCGTGACTACCAGAGTACGAATGAATAGACTTGGGAAACACCACTATACTTTGATGCTTTGAAGTAGATTTTGAATTATGAATTTCTCTTAGTGAGTCAGAGTGACTTCTGTTTGAAGTAATCTGAGACTTTGTTTACATTCAGCAATTACACATTTGTCATAACAGTATCGATAGAAACAATATTCACATCCATGTAAGTAAAGAAGAAAATCTCAACGATTGGAAAAGTAGAGGGAGGAATTTGTATAAGCCACTTTTCTAGCTTGAGATAAGTTACGCTAGTATTCAGGAGGTTTGGAAGTTGAATAATTAGTTGTCCACCATAATTACATTTCGAATTTTGAGTTGTAGAATAAAATCTCTTATTTTTTGATTTGGAGAGCATGCTGATTTATTTAGTTGTTCTTTTTCACATGTTTTAAATTATATCATATGAACACTCAGTAAGTAGCCATTTTAGTTTTCTTACACAAAGATAAAATGGGCTTGTCAACAAGTGTGGGGTTATTTAAACCAGCTATGAGATTCTCTTCCTGTGGTCATTATAAAATGAGTAGGAAATTTACCATTCTAGAGTTTACGTGGTCAGCAATAAGAGTCAAGGTTAGAGTCTAGATAATGTTTAACTACTCGCAATGACGCGCCGATAAGCAGTTTCCTAAGGTCATTAGAATCTATGATTGGTGCAAAATCAATTACAGATATGAAGTAATATTACAAACTAGCAATGATGGAATCATGCAGTAGCATGTCAACAAGACAAAAGGATAAAAAATAAAGAAGTCCCAAATTTAAAGTCACTAGTATAGTTTGCATTATGGTGTAATCAAAAATTGAAACAGATAATAATGCAACACTTAAGTCATATAATAATTGAAATAGTTATTTACCGCGAGTTCCACTTGCCACATAAGTTTATTCCGACTATGCTACTATTATCCAGAGACCCCAAAACCATTGAATTTTGAAATAAATATAACAGATGAATTTGAACTACTCAAAAATAAACCGATTTGTGAGACCGTTGAACATCCAATTTTCATTAATTTAATTTTAAACTCATTAGTCCAATTGGATCGATAATTGAATAGAATATATAGTTTATTTAAGATACTTAATTTTCTATCAGTGTAATTCGAATTTTATGTGCAACCCAGTAGACCAATCTTCTTTACATAAAAGTGACATACTCAGTTCAAACCGATCAGCCTATTTTGATTTTACAATACCTACAGCCCTTAAAATTTTAACTAATAAGCCTTTAATCCTACCATCGCTACAATGACGTCAGTATTTTGAATCTTTAATCGTTTCTATCAGAAGATAAAGTGCCTGAGATAGACAAAGTGGTAATTTCTGACGGATTCAATCCTCAATTACGACCAAAAGAGTTTCATATGGTAAAAATACGCATAAATTTACCAGACATGAGAATATACACCATGAAATTAATGCTGCTGTTTACTGTATTGGATTACTATTACAATTACTGTATACTTTAAATGCTTTATTGTTGTGTATTTTTCTTTGTCAAAATTATAAGAACATAAAATGTTTCTGACCTGGGGCCCAAACTTCTTCATCTCTTGTTGTTTTTTTCTAATTGTTTTGTTACTAATTTTTGTCACAATTCAATGATAAAATCTTTATACAAAATATTTTGTTGAAATGAAATGATTCTGAGTTAATTGTTAGACAGCAAATAAATATACACTTCTTCCCGTTGTAACTGTCATATGTTATCTCTCTCTATATATAGTGGTAATTAGCCAGATCTCTAGTTGATTCATTCCACTCTACTTTTAATGGGAGAATGTATCCATGTTATTGAAAGTTGTATGACTCAATAAGGGAGTGTAATGGTAATCTTTAGTAATCTCAATACCGGAGAATTAGAAAATATTCGTTAGTGTAGAAATAAAAGAAGCTTTAATCTTTAAAATAAAATAACAAAGAGCATTTATCTAGAATTAGTGCACTGATAGATATCCAATAAAGAAGTTAGTTTCATAAAAATAATAACTTGTTGAATATGATATAAACAGTATGAGATCACTTTTAATTAACTAAGTTGGTATCAAAATGTTAAGATACTACAGGGTGTTTCTGACTCGAGTGGTTTTTAGAAAATAATCAGCTCATTTTCCCTTCCTCTTATATTTATTTTGTCGCAAGTTACCATTTTTAGCAAGTGCAACAATTAAACCGATGCATTTAGCACCAGACTTTACTCTCCTAAATGACTTGATCAATTAGAGAATAGAATTTAAGACAAATTGAAGTGGATGAAAAATATATTAAAACGAATTAAAATAGTACAACGTTACTGATTATTACTTTCGAAGCAATTTTGTTTCTTTATATACATCCTGAAAATATTTTAGACAAATCAATGTTCTATAAGTTGTTTTAATTTCTTTCTGTATTAATCTAATATCATCTGACTGAATATTAGGAAATGATAAAATATCTTTTTGATTTGTGGATGTATTATCATTTTCATTTGTGTTCATTTTAGAGAATGATTGTAATAAATAATCCAAAAACACATTCATTGTAGATGCCATATCCAAAAATGCATGAAAACGTCCATTAGTTAAATTTGATAATTTTTTCAGAAATAATAAAGCAGTTCTAACAAAAAGTAATTGAACAAACAAAAATGAAGGTTGATAAACGAACTGATTTAAACAACAATACCGCTTAAGCTGTTTCTTTTTTTTTTTAAAAAAAATGAGCTTATCATAATTGATAATTAAGAATAACTGCGTATACACGGCAATCAACTTTCGGTTTGGAGCTTCATATTATTCGATTGCTTAATCTAGAAAAATCGCATTACTAATGTTTGAAACAAACATTGTTAATGGGACTTCTTTACTACAGGATATGTGAAGATACTTTACATGACATAGGGGATTTATAATAAGATTATTCATTCCTATCTTAAGTAGTTTCCTTAGTGAAAATGTTTTATAGGTTTTGGATATATTAGGTCAATTAGTTATTTGAACTAACGAAATGTTACTACGATTTACTTCCCTCGAAATTATGAGCCGATCAGTATTAGACCACCACTGAAAACTTTAAAGCAGTGGAAGGCCGTTTCATCCTAGTATGAGACTCCAATGCTTCCAGGTTTTCAAAAGTAGTCTAACATTGATCGGTTCATGATTTCATTAAAACTCAACATTCTTCACAACCCTACTCTTAAAATTTATCTTCTACTAACTAGTGGTTTGTGTTGCAATCGTACTTTCATATCTACGTTTATTTCTTCGGTTTGATCATTGCAATGTTATACCAGGTCTTTGCTGCTGAATATATATATATATATATATATATATATATATATATATATATATATGACTATTCATTTAAATTATCTAAGTAATGAGTAATTTTCCCTAACTTCCTACATTTTTTTGTTTTTTTATTAAATCCTTCTTAATATTAACTCTTATTCGTTTCGTTCGGCATGCAAAGTTAACTAAGTGTATTACTTATTGAAAATAGATGTGATAGGCCTTGGTAACACTGAGTTGACTATAGTCACGTAACTTTGTAACCAATACTCTTCGGTAACTTTATGCACATATCTACAGAAGCTAGAAACTCAATAAGTAATCATTCCCATATTTCCTTAAAGAAAATATAGAATCTACTGAGGAAGAATGTATACACATAATGTCAACTTACTGATCATTTGTATAAGAGATTGTGTGTATTGGTGGACATTTGTGTAATTGTACCAATTTAGGAGCTTTTGTATGTTTGATTTTATCCTTTTTACCTGTGTTATTTAACGTTTTAGAGGTTTTGGTTATTTTTGTATTTTGTAAGTCAACATTACTGTCAGGAGTGGGATTCCAAACTTCATTAATATTTTTAATCAATGAAGAACAGCTAACATCTGGTTTACCGTCTGTAATTAAATATATCCCTTTACTCATTTCATTGAAGTTTACATCATGAATTTCTTTGATATTCGATGAATTCATAATTTGTAAATGACTTAAACCACACAGAATTGCTTCACCGGTACACGTGCCACCCGTAGCCTTCAGTTGATCAATCCATGCAATAGCATCATGACAATATATTTCATCTGCCATTACTACACCGGAAGCCTGCCACTCAAGTAATGTACTACTAAAACTAATCATATTGAAAAACACCTTGTTCCTATAAACAAATGAATATAAATGTGATAAGTTATATTTTCCTGCCTTTAAGTTAATACCATTCAACCAGTATTCTGATCACGAGCAACATGATAATCTACACTAATTCTTATTTGAAAAATCTGGATTCTATAGGTTATATTTACTTAGTGTTATTGTAAAAGGGATTTTATGTATTGAATGATGAGCTACAATGTCACAGATTTCTAGGGAAATATGAACTGCAAACCAATATACAAAATTTTCAGATAATAAATCAGAGGGAAAAAAAGTTATTTCAGTCCGTTAGTTATTTATGAACAGCGTAGAACCTCGTAGAATTGTGTATCGGAACAATTCAACATAGGACATTAGGACACAGATATGAAATTAACAAGATGGATGAGCAAGGCGATGAAATAATAGTAGTATTATTATGATGGTAAAAATGATATGGTCAGGAAAGAAAAATAGGTTCTCGGAATAAAACGCTATAGTGTCTAATATTATGTTACACCCATATGGATTATTTTGACGTTTGGACAGACCAATTAAATTATTGTTCTTGAGGGATTATCCACAGATATTTGAACTTTATAACTTATTAGCCCATAAACTTGACTCATTTTAGATGTGTGTGTGTGTGTGTGCCTCAATAATTCTATTTACCACTTCTTTCTGGCTATGAATAGTGAGACGTGATTTATTGAATCGAGTAAACAAGCTTGCCTTCTCCAATTCGCTTCTCTCGTCCTAATGTTTGTCTGGATAAACAAATGTCCGAAGTGAACTCATCTGGACTTAATTTGTATTTGGCTTATTACTGTAGTCACCCCAACGGGTTTAGCCTATGTGTAATATACAAAACTACACGGAAGTTCACATAATATTCATTCATTCAAGTGGCAATCAAATCACACGTCACTAAAGGGTATTAGATGATATTAATACTTAATATGTAAAAATTAGAGTAAACAGAATCAGTGCATCTACATCGTCTCAGTTTATTCTGAGGAATATCATCTATCATCTCTAATGGTTGATCCGGGTTATCACGTTGAACCTTGCTCTGCAGGTGTTTACTTTTCTAGAAGTTTTAAATCCACGACTAATGACTTCATAGACTGATCACATTTCTTTGTTCAGTCGCTCATTTGCTCATTCCAACCTACCCCTAAACCAATAACTATTACTCTATTTTCTAAACTTATAAAAAGTTCAAATCCTGGTATTACACATACCAATATAAGAGGACATGTTTCTCACATAAATGAGTCAATATGAAATGCCTTTAGAATTTCGAAGAATGTAATAAAAATGAGTTAAAATATGAGCCATTATCAGAATTGGGTTGTGGAAGACGGTGAATGCTATTGAGGTTACGAACCGATCTAGGTTCGATAAGCAATGCAAATCAGCAGTGTACGTCTACGGCCGTGATTTGATGAACTTTGTTCTTTCACGCGAACGCTTACACTGAAGACCACTGAGCCATGATGAAGTGATGTAAAAGTCTGACTTCAATTATCCCATGATATTGTACGACCATTACTGATTGCCTTCAGTGACTCCCTTCCTCGTGTGAGATATCGAAGGTTCTCGGTTTAATCCACAAAGGTGATGTCATGGATGCCCACTACTGAGGAGTTCCATACAAAGACTAAAAAGCTATCTAGTGCTGCTTGATTTTTAATTGTCTAACTTCTGTCTCTTAGTGATTCCAACAGTATAAATTATTACACAGAGAAAGTTACGATTTTAATTAATAATCCTATGGTCAAATGAATCAGCTTAATAATATCAAAAATTCATGAGACTAAACCTAACTACTAATTCGATCCGGTACTAGTTGTAGAGTTACTGAAAGTTAAAAAAGATTTTAGGTTTTTAAGCTCTAATATCTACCGGTGTGCACATCGACCTGGGATGGAATATAACTAAAAACGTGCCAGTCTTACAGCTTATTTGATATTATATAATCTACTCAATCGGATCCGAATGGTTGACAGACACTGTGATAAACCTAATTAATACTTAGAACTTGTAGTTACGACATCAGGAAAAAATATTAATGAAACTTACTTGTGTAATTGTTCCCATATTAAAAGCTTCAGATACGTTTTTATTACATTCAAATGAGCATCCATTGAGCCAGATGTATCAATTAAAATGACTATACATTCTTCACATATAAGACCAAAATACTTCCTCGATCCTGTAGTTAACCATTCATAACGTTTGATATAACGTTTTAATGCTTTAACAACCTAGATAACGTTTTGTATTTGTTTTGAAAATACCCATAAAAAGGAAATCTATGAACAGTAGGGATGCATAAAAATTTTTTGTGGACTTCAAAGCAGAGCACAATATATTTTAATTTGTAAACTTCATGAATGTATCATAATTTCAGTTTTTTTAAGGAGTACTAGTACAGTTAGATGAGTTTTGACAACTTTCATCATAACAAAGCTGCCCGGTAACTTTCGTAACTCACTATTCTCTTGAATTTACTATGTTATTTTAAGCCGCTTTGTATACCGGACTGTCATTAAGTAAACAATATATTTGAATCTATAACAGCCAATCATAACTTTGATAGGTAGATACACTGTTCGTTTGTAATCCTATGTTTATTTTGTCGGATTCAGTTATTTTATCATAAACGTCTGGGATTTAGTTACATTCAACTAGTGAATACAAAGAAGAACAGACTGTCATCTCTAAATTCCATGATAAATGACCAAATAATTGTAATTGTACATTTATGTGAACCAACAATTTTAACGAATTTCATGTTCTTAATATTGTTTAGGGCTTTAGTGGTTATATTTATTGTCTAAATTAGGTTGAATTGATAAGTGTATCTGAAGATGGAATAATAAATGTAATCTGGCAATCGTCAATAAGAATAATTTAAAATATTTTAGAAATAAACTTTGTATTAACAAGTGAAGTAATCTAAATTATTCATCTAATTGATTACACACTACGCCACCTAGTTATTAAATCTGAAATAAATTTATCTATCCGTTGACATAAATCCATTTACAGAATGCATATGATCTACTTTAGTCTTCTGTTTCTTTTATAATTCAGTAATATGCTGATTCTTCCGGTTTTGAAAATTTGTTTCTTGAAATCGCCTAGACTGCAGTAAGTCTTAATATGCATTTTGCTAGATTTACCGAACAAGAATCAAAAGACTATCTTGGCCTCTTGGAATAGCTGTGGATGAAAACATGTAAATAATAAGGGGTTTTACAACAAAGAATGACTTTACTGATATCACAAACCAATCTGTTTTCGACAATTATTAAAAGCTTGGAAGTTCTGGACAGCCGCTTTATCTTAATATTAAACTCCTTGGCAGTGTGCTCCCACGAATTGAATATCGGGAATCGAATCCAGAACCTTCGAACCCTGGATCCGGTATCCAATAATGCATAAGTCTAACTTCAATAAATTTACTATACTAAGCTACCTTCTATTGTCTTCGATGGGTGAGTAACTTCCTCAAACCCGATAATTAGTTTATGTGAGACCCACCTCAACAACAAAATTCAAATGACAACCCATACAGGCGAAAAATGACAGTTCAATATGGTCGAATAGGTAGAATATGTATCAATTAATGAGGCGGTTAGTTTAACCAATAAAGTACGAAAAAGAAAGTCCTAGTTACTGATAAGTAGTATGGTCATTATACATAAATCTCACAGATATAGTCCCAAAGAAACACACGAATTAGACTGAGTACAAAAAAATGCGCGGGTCATTTAAAATGTTATAAAAGCAAATTTTTCAGTTAGTTTTAAAAGAACTAACTTTATTTTCAAGTGACTCCATTTCAATTTATTGGTTAGGTTTCAAAATTATGTTTTCCATTGGTCAGATATGAGAAAGATTTGGATCGGGGAATAATGGATAACTTTGTGGCATTTATAACAGTGAATCCTGAATTCTAGTCAGAATTAAAACAGCAAAACTTATGGCTAGAACAGTTCTAAATAGAAAGGAATGTACCTCTCGTCACTCAGTGTCAATCACCAGCAAATATAATCAACTGATGAACCAAGTTATTTCACTTCATAAATATTGTTATATTTTCGTTGATATATTATTCTGGATCTATTTAGTATGGGGATGAAAATTAATGAAGATTTTCAAGTCTCTTAATGCTACTCTGCAAGTTTCATAATGACTTTTTTGGTGATGATAACTGTAAATGTTTTAGAAAAATTCCACTTCATGTCAGTTTAATAGTATTCTACAAAACTATTTAATTATTTTTTTGAGTAAAATGGCTATATGAATCATTTTGTTGTTGTTACAACACGGCGAACTGACGTAATTTAGAGAACTTTCGGATACGTTGTGCAATTCTTTCAAGTAACATTTGATTCATTCAGTAGTCCAACGTTTTCGCAAGAAGGAATTCTCAGCAATATTTATGAAGTATTGTAACTAGTTTCTGTTAAACACATATTTTAGTTGTAGTTATTAGATAAAAAAGTGTTTTTTAATAGTCAGTATGCTACTTATTTTGGGTCTGCAAATTTTTCCACCTGTTCTTCTGGTGAAACTATCTTTAATTCATTATATATTAAATTCATGAATTCAAATATAACTGTCATTCGTACCTCGAAATAACAGATAAGGAGGAAAATGCGCTAAGGACCGTGATGTTCGCGTTCCCCTTTACCAGTAAACAACATCTCAATAAGTTGTAAGCTATTCATGAAAATATGTCAATATATACGGTTAGTATTCAAAACTATTTGGTTACAGCAAATCTAAAATAGGATAGTTTATTCTAGAATCTGTACAACTGGAAAATAGATACTCCAAACGTTTGCATTATCAAAGAGTTCTAGACTAGAATGAAACATTCATTTTGTGTTCTTTCGTTTTCAGTGGTTCGTCAGATAATGTCTATTCACTATGAAAATTGTTTCCAATAACCATGTTTTTCATGAAAATCAATTACGAGTATTTAATCATAATTTCAGGATGTGTGTATCATATGTATCAGCTATTACAACAGAAAATATTATAATTTTTATTCTTTGTTTAAACTATCTTGGATTTTATAAAGATTACTAATGGCGACAAATAAATAAATAAAACATCTAATTCCCGATAATAAATATACAATTAAGAAGTCAGGTAGGTTGTGTAAAAAATTGATTTCACATTGTATATTTTATCCTCTCCTTTTTATAATAATAAGGTACTTTGAGTTTCAACTATATCAATATTCACTAGTTTTATGTAAAAAGAGGATCATTAAAAATCATTTCTTATCTTGATGGATTTGTATATTGCTTCACTTTAATCTATAAACTTGAACTTTCTACAGATTACCTAGAGAAGTCTAGTTGACTTTAATTTTTTTTTTAATTTTAAGCTAGATTTTAATGAATGGAAGTCAACCTTCTTAACAAGCAGATTTACGACTGCTGATAAACTAAACGAAATGATTGGAAGAGCGAAGTAACTGTACAAAAAGTTGCCCCTATCTGTGAAACGTTTACAGATTTGTAGTGTCTTTTTAATAACATTTGTCCTCACAGTTTATAACCAAATATTATACTGAGGTTGGTATAATAGACTGATTTTATCTAGAGAACTATGGAAAACTAGAGAGTACAAGACAGTTCTTTTGTCCAAGTTTAGGATTCCTCAACAGTGCTCATCTATAATACAATACGAAATCCCACCCACAATCTTCAGAAGTCGCCGGGAGAATGTGATTTTCTGGTCGCCGAGTTGAAATCTTTATAAACCACTTGATTAAACAAATCTTACAGCTTAAAAGAAATAATTCTTTGTATATATATATATATATATATATATATATATATATATATATTTATTTATTAAACTGACCTCTTGTTCAAAAGCTTCTAGTTCGTCCAAAGTATACTGAAGATGTTTAAGGGTCCCAGCCACATTTACAAGAGGAAACAACCCGCTACAATAGCGTGCATGAACCATTGTTCGAGTGGAATTAACAAAAGACATTTCATGTTTACAATCCATTCCAGATGTGAGACGCGTTAAATTAAGTCCCAAACTACGAATACTGTATTTACGTAACCATTCACGACTCGTAAGCTTCCCAAAATTAATGAAACCAATAAAAATATAGATTGACTGGTAAACTTATTTTATTCAACTAGTAATATTATTACTTACTGGTTTTGATGAAAAATAACCATAAAAAAATCAGGATATGAGCAATTCCATTTTCATATGTAACATTGATAGGAGTATGAATCTTGTGATAATTCAATATTAATGAGGACCTTAGGCAAATTAGCTAGATAGCTAGTCAGTAATATTTTTTTCTTTTTAACATGGTTGCAGTAATTTTAAGAAATCTGCTAAAAAATGGATATTATATAGATTGTAATATTTCAATGAGGTATTTCCTAGATAAGAATGACTTTGGAGAGAACGAATAAAATCAGTTATAGTAAAGGTTGATTTTATATATATAGGGACAGAGACAAACTAGAAAGCGGCACCCATCATTTCAAATTGTAAAGAGAAATCTACTAGACTACTGAGTTGAGATCGCCATTACTTGTTCAGAGGATATTTCGTCAAGGAATTGTGTGTATTAAACAATTGGTACCTGCCTTCGCTTAAAACTTTGCACAAAAATATAGAGGTGTAAACTCCAATGCTTCACAAATCTACGAAAAGATCAGCCCATGATAAATATAAAAAAAGCAACTTCAATAATATCTAGGTTAATAAGCCATGAACCCTGACTTAAATCCAATAGAAAACATTGAATAAGCACAGGTTTGTGTCCTCAGTTTTAATGAATATTCATGGCATAGTAGTCAGAAATATGAACTGGGCATACGAACCGAAGCTAATGATGTTGGTTGCTCATATGTGACCTAATTAACCTTAGCTGTGGAATAAGGATAGTTGTGGTTAAGCATCTGCTCAAGTAAAGATAGCTCGATTGTAATCTAAAATTAGAATTAATGCATAACAATTAAATATTTAGATAACCAAGCTGCAAATTTAGGTGTATAAAACCATATGCATTGCATGATGTTGACGCTCAATTATTTAATCGGATGGTAGTGTTCCAGTTACTGTATTCGAACATAATGATAAAATAGTTCAAAAGTCCAAATGTTATCATCAATTAGACAACTCTCAGTATTGCATCAGTTAGTTCTTAGACGTAACATAATAAATACTGACTTTGAGGCAGTTTGCTGTAGAATCACTTGAAGCTAAACAATAGACTTATTCCTCTACTGATATATGAACGAAACCGTCATCAAATCTGTGACAATGAAAGGAAATAAATTTGTAAGTAGCGTGTTTCTAGGATGTAGACTAAAGTTAACTAGGACAGCGTTGGTAAGTAGAATTTGCTACAAACCATTTATATATGAAGAAATTTTACCAACTATGGAGTAAAAATGTAACTACTACCAAACTGTGATAGTAAAATGATTCTAACTCATATAGTGTCATATATACTCATATATAGCAACTATTCAAAAGTACATACTCTTTCTTCATCTGTGGGTATTTGACAGTTGAATCGTTTAATTTGAATTGGTTTAACTAAGATATTAGATTTTTTTCTCCCAGATACTTTACTTATCGTTGGGTTGGATCGTATCCTGTCGGTATTATTGATCTCTTGATACCATGTCAAAGCTTTTGGATGTGAATGATTATCAGTGGTATTACTTTTCATTTTTGCGTCAATAGCTTCTTTTCTAGCCAATGCCAATAAGTTTAAACGCGGTTCAATTTGATTTGAAGGATCCCACCCACCCATTAATTGATTAGCCGTACTACTACTCTTTGAAACTATGCTTTTATCAGACTTATTCCAATCAACTCTAAATATTTCAATATTGTTTAAAGGAAAAAAGAATCCGATCATTGAAAATTACATTAACATAAAAATAAACGGAAGTTGAATCATTGGTTTAAAGTAAATGTGTGTTAGAATGCTTCAGAAATAGAATGTTGGTTTTATGGCTTATCAACTGTATTAGTGATAGCTTAAGGCTGTGAGAATTCAGTTACAGATATTATAGCGGACCAAGTAAACGATTCTTATGTAAAATTAGAAGTAACCATTGTAGAATGCAATCTATTATTATTTGTAAGTAATTTTGATTTAACAAGAATTTGTTAGTGTAACTGTATTTTCAGAACGGATTAAAAATATGGAACGGGAATATCTTATTTCAGAGCACAAGATTTACGGTTATCAATCAGTATTCATCGATATCATATTGTCTAACCTTTACTGATAACAGAATTGCGCCAGTCAATTTTCAGTATTGCAACCAGTTTGTGTAACTGGACCAAGATATGAACTTCCCTTGATGTTAGGTGTTTCAAAGCGATTGACAGGAAGCTTTGAGCTTAGATTTAATACTAGGAATAATAACTAGACAAGAAGACATTGGTTTTTGAAAATAAGAGATTTAATTAAATATCTCAATTTCATAACTGGCTAGCAGCCACTTGTATGGCTAACTCATAATTTCTCCATGGTACTGGAAGACGTGTGTTTGATTCTAACAGAGTAGGCAATTTTTACGAACAGATGCACATTATCACAAAATCTAGATCTAGATCTTCTAAAGATCATTTTGAACCTTGCATCATCAAGCACAAGGTCCAATAATTTTACTTTTTCTTTATCCCATTTATATTTAGTTCATTTATTGTTATAAACCCAGATGCAATTAACAAGTGATCCAAACACTTTTAAAATAACATTTACAGGCTTTAAGGTACAAACTGACCATGATTATCTAAAATGCAATTAATTGAACAATTTAGAGTGATTCAATATCTATTCTATTGCTCAATTTTTTATACTGTATCATCAAGGATCTGAAGAGTTTAGGTTTGATGGGCCGTAGGTACCCATTTTAGAGGAGTCTTTTAGTGTGATTTAACGGTTGTCCAGTGCTCTCAATTTGTCACCGGTTACTTAGCTAATGTTATTCCATAATGAAATCAATTCCGAGTAAAATTACTCCCCATAAATCTCTCAACCAAAAGACTATTTATTTAATAGAAAGATAGTGTCACAATTATCGTTCTGCTTAGAAACAAAACCACCTAATGAAGTCCATATCAAATCTTATCAAAAGAACTTGTGATTACTAGCTATTTATTCCCAGTCTGGATGTATGTCAACTTTCATTGTTAGCCCCTAATAATATCACGAGAAGTATACTGTGTCCCAATGTTCTGTTTCAAAATTATTTTATTCCTTCATTCTATTCCTTGTCTTTTTGTCATATTCTCTTCTATTAGTAATTTTTTACCCTTATTTTTCATGAGGCGCTGTTACTCATTCTCTTTTTAATAATTCATAAAATTGACCACTTATTTTTAAAATGTATCTTTTGATTTATTCAGACTCAACTTACTCTGACCCGACTCGTTTATCTGTGATTGAAGCTACAAGTAATTGAGCTTGTTTTGAATAGCTAACTGCTTCGTCTATTTCATCCAACAGAACGCAAACATCATCACTTTCTATGATACCATTCTCACGAAACCAATGAAAACGTCCATTTGGGGTTGAATGGGCTATTTCTCTAAAGGAAGTTGTATGATGAAATATGAAGTGATAATACAGAAAATTAAAATAATCCATATAATCAAGACGGATTCTTTCTAAATAAACTATTGCGCGCTATTAAAATTTGATGTTGTCCAAAAAATGAAGGTATAAGATGCTAAATTAATACATACCATCATCAATATTCAGTGTACGAACGTTCAAATTTGGTTTGAAATTGTATATTAGAACCTAGTATAGTTAACCTGGTATAAGTTAATTATCTCAACTTATTGCTTTAATGATATCAGACACTAATTTAACTCTTCCTACACGCCATGTTGTTTAATTTCAACGACTATCTGAACAATTTAAATTAAAACAGAATGTATGCTCATTTTACTCTTTCAAACATCTTTGTTCATAATCAGTTTAAAAATTACACTTGACGAAATGGATTTTCCCATGAACTAGAATAATAAAGTATTTCATGTAGGAAAGTATTGAGTTTCCAACCTGCTACGAAAAATATTGAATGGGCTGCTGGAATCACCAGCATATATACTGATGACCCTGAGCTTTATTGATCGACATTAGCGTTTTAAGTTCAGCCTGGTTATCGAGATTGTCTCAGGATCTTCATGAGCAATGTTTGAAGTTTTAGCAATAAATGCCTAGCCAGGGCTTTTCGTTTTAGTAAGAGGATAGGAAAATTAGAGAGACGGTAATTAACTAGCTGGATATCAATCCAAAATAACCTTAATTGATAAGTTGAAATTTTCAAAGGCTGATGAGTGGAGTAAAGAAAACATGTTAGTTATAGTTGTTGAATCAGCGATCCTCGGTTTATCAGCCTGGTTTAAGATTCAAGACTTGTTTGTTAACTGGGTTTGAATCTTATCTCAGTCAATAATTTAATCTATCAACCTAGTATGGAAATCATCCCTAGTTTTCACTTCTCATACACATTTTGTTCTTTAAAATGTTAAAATTATCCAAAAATGAGCATCTAATTTATACAACCAATGAATTTGAAGGAATGATGAAACATCATAGAGTAGGAGCTCTGATGCAGATTTTTGTTGACTTTCTGATATACAAAGAAGAATTCTGTCCCAGTTTTGAGCGCATATGCAAAAAGTTTTCTTCCTGTGAAATTATTTGTTGATTAAATACTTAGCTTCGTAATAGACTTTCTGAAGTTCTAGTAAAAATAATTAACTTGTTAGTGAAACAGTCACTGGTGGGATAAGGATTATGCATTATGGAATTCTGAGTCAGTGGTTTAAAGGTATCTGGCTAATCAGGAAAACTGATGATTCTGAATTGGCTGCACTGTGTGCCCAATGGTGTTCACTCCTAAAGAATCATAAACCAAAATGATATAACCGTTTTGTGTTTTTTTTGTATTATTAATGATTGTCCGGATAATTTTAGTTTGAGATTAAAATAACCATCAGGCGTTTTACTTAAAAATGAAGAGTTTCAATTATTCCGCTATTGACTTTCCTACGTGGTAGTTTAAGTTACATAGAATAACAAGTTTACAACAGATTAAACGACAATAATCTCCGATTTACCTTAAAGAATTTGCAGTTTCCGTAATATTTGCATAACGACATGGAAAGTGTTTATCAGTAATGATATTGTCCACATGGTATAATGCCACATGTACATGAGTATTTAAAAACGTACAACGTTTAGCTTCCAAATAAGATGAAATCACCTCACTATCCTGATCAGGTATACCTGATGTAAATATATAAATTCCTAAATGTGATTCAAACAAATCTTTTTCTGACTGACTTTCAAACACTAATCTATGAATACAACAATAACAATAAAAAAGATAACAAATAAAAGCGATATTTTATTAGCTACGCTAGACATAAATGATGATGGGATTCGACGAAACGATGATATAATGATACGGCTAAAACTAAAGTTATCTGCACTATTAGTAAAACAGACTAAGTATTATTTCCAACTATCACAAAAGTAGAGAATATATTGCTACGTTATTTCGAATAAACTACCTCCTTTGATAGGTTTCCAACTTGTATACAGTTAAATTAAACAAGAAATATCTCTGGATTACTTTCCAATTTTCTTCCATGCTAGCCATCATAGTATTCCGGGATGTTGACTCTACCATGCAACTGGGCTACACATACCAAATGATCTACAGATGTTAACTGAAGTGACATTTTAGTGTTGATTGCAGTTTTTAGAAAAATAATAATACCATATTAACTAAGTTCTTTGAAACTGCGTACAACTTTTTTTCATATCAAATGTCCAAGTTCAGTTAGTAGAAATCTACTGACCTGGATTTTGAGCTTCAATCCTGTATTTATGGATGGATTTATTTCAATTTTTAATGAAAACAGGTTCCGCCCCATTAGAGAGCAGCTATTTGATATACTCATAAAAACATTACTTAGTGAAATTTATATTTGAAGTAATTTCAGTAGTTGAAATTTCGTTCAGACACGTTTTCTCGACTAAATGTAATTATTTGAATATCAATATCTGAGATTACTTCAAATATAATTTATACTAATTAATATTCTCGGCGCCTAATTTTTGTAAACCTATTCGTTTAAATCTTGAATATTCTTATGAAACATCACTATGTTGTGATAAAGCACGCAAAAGAATCACCTGAACGTTTTGTTTCATATTTTCACGAATATTTGTCGTTCATTAAAAAAAAAAAATAAACGTATATTTTATATGGTTCGTTACTATTTGTGCGTCATTGGTTAATTGGTTGTCTACACATCACTTCTTCTGGAAAAGAATGATAAACAATGTAACCGCATCTCTAAAAATAGATGAATGTAGATAAGATGGATATACTTCTTATCAAGTTCTAACTTGAGCATTTAGTTCAATAATGTGGTCAATTCGTGTCAATTATTGAGCTTATGAATTCTCTTTTTACCCTTTATTTTACTTTATTCGTGTTGGTAGATATAAACTAATTTTCATCAACTTCCAGTGATGGATAAAATATCACCAGATTGTGTCCATCAATATAATATGTTTAAAATGGTAAGAAACATTTTTTGGAGTGACCACAATCTGTACTCATAAACAATAAACAACTCTCAGTGAAAATTAATCTAGTTAGATAACAGCTACTAAACAACATAGGAATGAACACATGCAGAAATCCCTCAGCAGACGATAATGATTATAAACTTTTGTTCCTTGATTCTGACTGTAGTAGATCAGATAGTATCGATCATTATTAATATAATATCATTAAAAACAATAATGAATCCTACAAGATAATTCTCTTGAACCAGTTACGAAAGAGTTACGTGTTTGTTCAGCATAGATCACATTGAGCAAAGATGGTGTGGAGTATTGAATTCCGACTTACTAACGTGCAAGTTATGAAGACTAAAGATACTGATTCATATCCTCAGTGGGTGTGTATAAAAGAACCCCAGATGCGCAGCTATATACCAGGCTGTACGACTATCCAGTGTTCTCCGGTTTCCAACGATTATTCAGCTGTCATCAATTTGTGACGAAATTCATCTTCAACGGGTATAATTTTCATTAGAAAACAAAAACGTTTTTATTTAATTATACATTAATTATATCCGAATTGTATACACAAACTAACCTCAAAGCACTTAATAAATTACGACTGCCATTGCAATTGTGCGTTTTAAACCAATCCCATGAAGCTTGTAAATTATTAGCATTCACATCAATTAAATTCGATTGATAAGCCTTAGAATCCGAACCAAATATCATTAAATTAAATTTAGATTTTGTTGAAATTTGTTCTTCGAGTAAATGACGTAGACAATAGTGTATATGAACCATATAGATAGTATTATACTCTGATAAATCGATTAAAATTATTACGTTCGGTTCTATAAGGGTACCAAAGTATCCACGACTTTTTTGAGTCAACCAATGAATTCGTTTTTCTAATAATCCAACCTTAGTTAAAATTAATAAAAGCAAAACGAATAAGGAAGATAATATAAATGAGGCTTATATATATTTAATTAACCTACCTAAATAGGAATACAATATCAATCATTCGGTTTTGAATTTTTCTAATAATCGGTGTAAAATGTGAATATTTTACAGTAAATGTTCAATCATAGTGATATATGATTATTTGTTATCCAGCTTGGTTTTCACATTGTTTGTGTGCACTTTATTGTTCTTTGTTTCCGCTTACCTTTTAATTTGTCTACTTGACCTTTTATTTTTCATAAAAAATGTTCTTAACAAGTATATGTGTGATCAGATTGTTGGAAATATATTGCGCAATTATATAACCTTCGTCTTCTCATTGCACTATCGAAATTTATCAAAGGGATTAATTATTTTAAAATGTTTTAGTATACCAAAAGTGTTCATTGGTTACAATATATTATGAAAGTAATGCTTAAAAACAAAAATCCAAATTGAATTTGTCATAAGTCTAATTTAATTGATTGATGTTTAACATAGCATAGTAGACTTACGATAAAATAATAAAATATTTTACATTAAATTCGTAAGTCGCGGAATATCGAAACCAATCAGTATCCGTTTTTGATCGCGAGTCAATAAGTAACCATAATATAGATCTTGTATTTTCTAATATTCACTAGGAATCTGTATTTTCATTCCTCGAGAGATTCCTACTATCTCAGAGATTTAAAAGCAGGTCATATAGTGTGACAGTCTGAACGTTATTTCTGGGTGGTTTGTTTAGATAAGCGTTAACCAATCAACTACTTTTCGTGATTTATAATAAATTTCTTTATTAAAAGTAACCTAAGTCATTTTATTTTCATCATTATTTAAATAAAGGCCATTCTATGAACACTATCCTTAACTACTTTATATGTGTATGATGTGACCAAATTATTATCTTGTTGATAATTACGTCTGCTGACAAGTGAATAGGTTCAATATGAATTTCCCGATAATTTGTTGGAAAACCATTAGTAGTAGAATCAGTTATGTTGGGAGTAGGACAGTAACTCAGCAATGATTCAGGTTGGAAATAGTGTTGCATCACGTGGCAAGTGGAGTTAGAATTATGACATATTGGACACCGACTTAATTATTTAAAGATGTCTTGTATGTTACTGTTAACTGCTCTCTGATATCTGACGATGAATTCAAATTGCAGCACCTATTTATAAATAAATTTCGAAACTATAGTCCCTTTTCTGTGATACATTTTATTCCAATTGAATGTTCCTGAATGTCGCATCAACTTTTAGTTTACATTGAAAAAAAAGCCAAGTGTGGTGAGAAATTTATAATGATATGATATATAATCAAGAGTTGGCTTAGATTAAAGTAACTGAAATCAGATTATAGGTTTATTTGTGTTGTCTCTGCACACAAAATGGAACAGTTTTCATTACTTACCAAATTTGTTATCTGTGTTTGGTATTTATACAATTCATTAGGATCAACATGAACATTTTTAATTGATCCATCAAGCCACCTAACTTGAACCATGCACTTTTCATGTATTTGAGCACTAACAGAGCGTTGAATTGATGGGACATAACCAACAACTTGTGAATATGCATTTGGTGCCAATATCTAATGATTAAAATGCGATAAATAATATACATTTTAAGATCATATTGAACATGTCTGAGTAATGACTTGGAAATGTTAGATATTCATAGGATACACTCATCAAATTTACGGAGATCAAAGTTCATCTTTTTGCTATGGCTATTTAATTTGATTTAATTTGATGCTCACTGTAATTAAGACAGGTACTAAAGACTTATCTGCTTTATTATCATCAAGCCGTTAAATAAAAGTGCCATGTATCTTAAGGTTCGTAATTTGTCGATAAAGTGAAATATAACAGAGCCCTAAGCAAACTATTTATCGAACTAGCCATTTCTATGTCAGAGGAATGATCACTAGACGCTGGACTGCTTAACACATATCATCAAGGTCAGGAAGGACTAACGCTGAATTATTAATTTATATGATTTCAGTCTCTTCTTGCACAATTCTACCGCTTTTATGGCCTAATAAAATGTTTACGTCGTAAGATTTTTTCTCGCGGTAGGATAACCTGGTTACCACATTACATTAGGTCGTGCTAAGAAATTGTCGCACGGTGTGAATTTAACGTAAGTTTACGTAAGTAACTAGTTACATCATCCCCCGTACAACTCTAGTAAACTAAATATCTACAAATTTAAAAACAGCTTACCTGAAATAAATTCAATTTGCGAGCTTTCAGTCCATGTTTATGTAACCAAACTTGAGAAGAAGTTGGTTGGAAAGGTTTCCATTGTCTACAACATTGTCTGGAATAAAGTAAAGGATATGTTTACGAATTTTTGATATTTAATGAATACATACCTATGCAAATGATCCAACTGAAGTTTACCATGCAGTAAACTTGTATCAGTCGGTTGAGGTAGATAGTAAATTGGTGAATTACACATTGCATTAGATAACATATTCACTTCATCTGTAGCTTGCTGAGCAATCGTGGATGAGCTCTCCATTTCTTGTCTTAGATGACCAACAACTTCAAGAACTTTCTGGAAAAAAATAAATTAAGAAAAGTACAATTTTATTATAAAAATCACAATAAGATTACCGCTCTATCCTCGATACAACTGGAATTAGTTCTTTGTGGTAACATGAACCAAATAAATACGGAAATTCGTTTAGATAGATACTCAATTAGTCAGCTACAACGTAGGACCAGGCACATATGTACATCGGTACAAGTTGCCATACCTCATTAGCACGACAAGATGAACACCGGATTCATAGTAGTTAATTCCGTGGTGGTAATATCTAAAAGAAAGATTGCATATAAGGACATAGTACAGGAAGAAAGAATTAGTTCGTAGAAAGAAAGATATGAGGGCGAAGTCGTACTATTGACTGTTAGACAAATACTAATTAAAATGAAACTTGAAAATAGAACCAGTACAGTTTGTGAGCGGTTCTATGTTATTATACAAACTTGCAATCAGGAATGACTACGGGACAATGCATTAATGCATGATAAATTTAGGTGTGAAATATTAAATTTTACACCTGTTAGTTAACTACCACTCAGTATAATCATCTACCAAATGCAATTCGATCACGGTCAAAAATTAAACTTGAAATATACTCCTTAATTTCTGTAGTACAGTAGAATTTTGGATATCGGTATTGTTACACTATATTGAGAATGAACATTTAACCCGTCTTACAATATGAAGATTTTAAATAATGGTCTAAGACTGCTACCCTTTCTTGCTATTCCTAAGTAACATGTGAACTTTTATTGCACATGTATTACTTTACTGAAATAGACTGACAACTTTGTATGGTTGCTTTAAATTTATTTTTGTGAATATCGCAAGCTTTAGTGGGCTGAAGGTTCGTCAAGCTGAAGTTTTATAGATGCAAACGACCACAAAATAGAATTTGTACGTAACAGAAGTTTTGTTAGTGTGCTGAAGCTTTTCAAAAGAGAAGAATAAAATATAGTACCTATACCGATAATTATCAATAAAAAATCCTGAATATCAGATTTTATAACCAAATGACAGCAACGTTACACCAGTATGCAGGAATGAAGATTTTGTATATTGATTTTCTTTGATAACTGCATATCAAACAGAATCGATTATTGAGAGTTCACTTCGAGTTAAAACCACTGGCCAATAATAATACCGGTTGATTAAGTGTATTTGCTTAAATACTTAATAACTATAAACCAGGATGTTGATTACTTGGTGATCTATTCATATACAAATAATGTAACTAATATTGGTTCTAATAAATATTTGTGTTGTTGTAGCATACGTGCTTCTTTTCATTAGTTTGTTGAATTAAGAACAAAAATATTCACTGCCTTTGATTTTGGCTTATATCTGGTAGTTTTTAGAACTAACGACCTATATATCACTAAAAGATGTTATAATGAATAGATACAGGTTAATCTACGACATATCATTCATTACAAGCGTTAAGTTAAAAGACATTAAGCTTTTTGTTTCTCCAATCTCAGCACAGGTTCTAGAAAAAAGTAGTCAGTATAAAAGGCATTTGAATGATAAGCGTACAACTTGCTTGATTAATCGAAACGTCTGTTGTATTATAAGATTCCTGGTTAGATGATTTTCATTTATACGTAAAAACAAAAGAATTCCAGTCTTTTTAAAAAACTAAGTTATGATTATAATCCTGTAGCTTATGAAAAGAAAAAAAAATAAGGAACAATAATTTAATGTTTAACACTAACCTGTGCATCATTTATCTCTTTCAGAAGACGAGCAATTTCATCACTTGTATACACAGCCGATTCATTCTCAGTTAAATAGCAATGATAGATGAAATCATTTTTTATTGTGGCCAGTTGAGCTAACAATTGATTTACTTCAGGATTACGACAATCATAAGCAACTAAATGTAGTCGAGGTGATGTGAAACCAGCAAATATTTGCTCTAGATATTGTTGAATAAATATAGCAGGTTGATCTGGATAACTACCACATATTATGATGATAACATCTAATTGTTTTCTACCAAACATAATCATCTAAACAATCATATAAATAAATAACACAGCGAGTTAATACATGCATACTTTGCTTTTCATGAGTTCTTTTACTAAAAGAATGTATAAAGTCAACCTTACAGTATATAGTACTCATTTTGACTGTGTCTGTTGAACACGAAACTTTATCCAACAAACGATTCTAAAATATGTGTTACTATTAATAAAGTAAATTTTATTTGAATTTGGGCAATCGTATATAATCATTGTCAATATTTATACTAAAGTTTGTAAATGTTAATACCTATGTACTACATATTCATTATGATCAAAATCCTAATACATATTCTTTTCCTGTGAACTTCGTTCAAAACTCAGAATTAAATACAGAACATATATTGATTATCAAATTGGAATTGATTCCATATTTGATATTCATCGTCTTAGTCAGTCAACCAGTCATAATCCTGGAATTTATGTTCATCGTTTCATTTTAGTTAGCGACTGGTGATATTAGTATTCAATATAGGCAAATATATAATGTTTAGTGAAGTATGTATCACTAGTTTGAACTTAGCCACCGAGTTTGATGAAGGAGAGTATTTTCTTTAATCAAAACATAACATTTAGTAACAAACATTAATTAAATAGAGAATTAAGAAATGCACTTTCGCGGTACAAGATGTATAAATATCCAGATAATTTGATTTTTTTGATTTACAAATTAACATATTACCTTCTGGCTCTACAGGGAAAGTGTAAAGAGATTATGGAGACTGTTGAGTTAAATACGTTAATATCATAAGCTGACCTTAGTTAGGAAACCAGTGACAACCCAAATGTACTGGATAGCTGTTTCGTCCTAGCATGGAACTCCCTTGCAGTGCGTGTTCACGACCTTACCCGGGATCGAACTTAACACGTTCAGGTTTCCATGTGAGAACTTAAAGTTTAGACTATTGAGTCTGTATTCATTGGTTTACATTCGTAACTTTAATCAATTGGCGATGTTTTACAACCATCACTTAATGTCATTGGTGTTTAAATCCACTGATCAACGCTTCACACTGGAACTCCGGAGATCAACTCCCGGCAAGATTCACCTGTGATCACATGATTAAGCTACTCACTAATAAGCTTGGAAGATGATTGTGAAACATTGCCAGTTGATTAAAGTTAGGAGGGTAAGCTATTAAATTCAGACTCGGTAGTCTAAATGTTAAGTTCTCACAGTGTAACTTGAAGGTCGTGTGTTAGACTCGGATAGGGTCGTGGATAAGCACTGCTGAGAATTCCCATACTAAGACAAAACACTTGTCCAGTACTGTTTGGTTGTCAGTGATTGTTTAAATATTATCAGTTTGTGACGTAAATTATAAAATCTTGCAGAATTGTTTAAACACATTGTGATGAATTTAAACTCATTTTAATTCTTAATTTTTTTAGCTTCACTTTTCTAAAAGATAAGATTAACCGAGTTCAATTATTGCATAAAACAAACAGTTACTTTAGAAATAGACATTTATAAAATTAACCAAGTCCCTCATAAGTGTTTGTAAATAGTCCCAATATCCACAAAAAGATTTGACCATTTCACAAACTAGTATACTAAAGTCATTATATTAAAAGTGATCAAATTGTTAGCATTATATAAGTAAGATGTTTATTGAACGTGACTCATATGGTCCTTTATATACCATTTTTTTAAAAGATGAGTTTATTCCAAACCAACAACCTTTTTAATTGGCTAGTTGAAAATTAAATGTAAATAAATTTATGAGATAAGTTACACTTTAGAATTCAAAAGAAAATAAAGTTTCTGACATCACTCTAAGACAATCTCAGAAACTGTCGCTTAGTTATGGAGTTAATAGAAAGTATCAATCTTCCTTAAGCATAACTATATAGTTGAAAGTTATTAATTAAAATGTTAGAAAAGTTTAAGTCAGTTAACATAATTAAAAAGCCAATCAACGAGGCAAAATGACTCCACTTTTTCACGACTTTCACATAAATCAATTATACCTTTAAACTACTGCAGTGTTTTTAAAAGAAATCTTACATGTTTTATACCACTCAACAAATTCGATCCACCCATTGGTATTAGTTGTTCTCTAATAAAATACTTTAATTCATTTATAGCACGTGTATTTACACACATTGGATATGGCCATAATGAATTAATATTTGTTCCATAACTTGCTACATATAATGTTTTTAGCCTGTCTGCAGTTATTTGTTCGTTGACTAATTCGATTAAATGTTCTTTAAATTGCTTATCTCTATTGAAGCCCAAGTTGGCATCTGAACTATCCAACAGAAGACCAATATTTTTTCCGCGAATTAAACCAAATATTTTTCTTGTGTCCTACATATTACAAAATAAACAGTGAATAAACAGATAACTGACATATAGGTTTTCCATAAATTGACTCGAAGGACAACAAGAAAAGCTCAACAGTTATGTTTTTGACAGTGATATTGAGTAACGCAGGTTTGAAACCCGAATAGAACGTACATAAAAAGACGTTCCTTTAAAAAAATTTAGATGCTCTTCGGTTGGATTAGGATGTGACTTGAAATTCAGTCTCATGTAATCAAGAAACTATATATATATACGTCCCTTAGAAAATTAAAGCTATCTGTAGTAAATGTCTCCTCTCTTGCAAAATAAAGTCACTAATTGGCCAAAAGTGAAAACCTATCATTTGGCAATTTTCGAATAGCACAACATTTTAAGCATACAGGCTCATTTTTTATTATTTGATTCAGTAGTGTAATGAGATGGTAAATGAATGCATAAATCTATCCGTATGAAACCATTTTAGATCTTTATCATATATTTTTCAAACAATCAGTATTAATAAATTGTTGATACTGCACCAAGGAAAGTATGCCTTTTTTGAATCAGGAGTAAGGCTCTAACATAATAATGCTGATATCTATCTTTTGTTATGTTTCTCATAGCTAGAAGCTAAATAGCGTATCAAAGTGAACGAACATAAATTGCTACTGTTAGAATGGCTTCAAAACCATATCGACTAAATTATGGTTTGGATGAGATATTTTACCCAATCTCATTATGACTAGCTTAAGCACTGAGGCGATGTTTAAAAAGTGATGCTGATAAAACATTTCGAATATTCTGCTGTCATCTTCCAAATATCGTCTCTCAAAGCACAAAAGAAAACGATGACATGATACTCTTCATATGTATGTGATATTTTGTTTTAATAACTTTTTAATAAATTTTCCGTTAGTGACATGATATGAAAAGCCAGTCAGATGTAGCCTAATGACCTAAAGGACAAGTGCACCTCATTGGCTGCGAAATAGAAAATCGCATATTATCCCTCTTCTTTAGATACAGCATATTTACTAAAGGAGGCAAAGATCTTTAAATGACGTAAAATATGATAAATTTTACTCAATGCATTTTCATACATACATTCAGTAGAAAGCAAATGTGAATTTCATCTATAACTCTAGAGATAGCAATTTTTGTGAAATATGGCTAGTAAGAGACATACATTCATTGGTAATACACAAAAATTTGGAAATAAGGTTAGAGTTAACTATTCAGACTGATAAATGAACATACATCGTATCGTATGATTGTCATGAATTGAAATGAGACTAATTTGATGAGGTTGTGACGTCAGATTAAATGTTGATTACTGCTGTTGGTAAGATTGTTTACTGTGACAACGGAATAACTGCTACTTGCTAATTGTTTCAACGAAACGAACGAGACTAAATTGTTAACTCAAGGAAGAAAAATAGACTGTAGACACAAACTGGTTGGTTCACCATTCACTTATTAAACAGCATCCACGATAACCATAACAGTAGTTATAAATTGTATATCATTTTAGCAGTTATTCCGTTGTCACAGTAAACGGTCGTACCAATAGCAGTAATCAACATTTAATCTGAAGTCACAACCTCGGCAAGTCAGTTTCGTTTCAAGATATTATAAAAACGACTAATATAAACTGTCATAGGATTGTTCGAAGTCTTCTGAAATAAACAAAAGAAATTTTAAAAGCGGCAGTTACCTCCATCAACCATCTTATTCTGTTTGTATATGTGAAGATAGATTCGTGCAGTCCACATTCAAATTGATTAACTTGTTTGGAGTTATATTCGAGATGTGACGGGAGATTTTTCTTGAATCCATCCACAATTTGGTTCAAAGTTAAATCTGAATTCGCTTTTATTTTGAAAATAAATTTAGAAGTAATCTGTCTAAACATACCTGAAAATTCTTCCATTACACAACCTGGAATTTTACCTATAGCAATGAAATCATCGAGTGTTAATCGTTGCGCTTTTAAACTATAATTTTCTAACCATTCATTTGTAGACTGCTTAACTGATTCTTCAGCGCGAATATTTTTACTTTTGACTTCATTTAATTCGTAGTAATGATGCAGTTTTGTTCGCAAAAATTGATCATCAGGTGAAGCAAAAGCATATAAATTCCTATTGAATTTCGAATCCCACTTTGGTTTCTCTCTGCGTGTAGACGTACCTAGTTCAGCACGATTCTTCAGATTTGCTTGGTCACGCAAAAATAAGGTTAGTCCCTCTGTCTGCAATTAAGAAATTTATTAATCCATAGACGTTTATCATCCAAGTGATACACAGGTAAAAATTAAACTGTTGACTACATAACACTACCTAAGCAGTGACATGTTTCATAATAATGATCAACGTTTTTGTATTTATGAATGAATGTGTATAATTAATAATCATGTGGTGAATAAATCCAGTTAGTGAGGAGATATTTTGGAATGATTTTTGTCACGGACTAATTCAAACTAAGAACCTACTGAAAGACAAGGGTTCCTAAACAGTTGTTTGTATCAGTTTTCATCAGTACTCAAACACGACTGTGTGAAAGACTGAATTAAAAACCTTCATTTATTGTGTTGAACGCGTTATCTTTAGGTCAATGAATTGAGTCCCGGTGATTCAATTTCTGAATCACGCTTTTTTGTGACACACCAAAACGACTGTTCATTTTTATAGATGATAATGTTCTCATCTATGAGATAACTGAGATCCATTAGTCGTGGCTACTTGCCAAAACATCAGAAGTTTAATAGTTCACCAGCTGAAGTCATGAGTAAAGAAAATCATCTTAAAATCGAAATAAAATCCATAACGAAAGGAGTAAATAATGATAGTGTGATCACTAGTGACTACATCTTCAAGGTAATACAGTATGTTTGCGATATAAACTATGGTATATGCTACTTATGTTGTTAAACATAAGTAGTATGTAAAATCAATCGGAAGCAAAAGCCTGGCAGCAGAAGACTGATAAAATAGCGTAGAAAAAAATGGAAGGGCAAATAGAAAGGAATTGTGAACTTGAAGAATCACAGAGGATATGATGGATAAATTATTCGAATTTGCGAATAAAGTATTCAATGTATGATTATCATATTTTACCGAGCGATTCTGTAATTTTGTATAAAAAATGCGTTGGTTTTTTCTACCTATGTTCTCGTTTATTACAAAGACACCCATTTGTGAGTGAATGTTACAAGGATCTATTGGACAGTATTCCATTGCAACTCAAATAAAATATTCTATAAACGTATACATAAAAATGGTCAAACATTTGCTTTACAAGAATTTCTCTAAAACCGATTATTTATGGTATTCCACTAGTGATATTTGACGCGAGAAACCTTGAAACTGGCAAGTAGAAAGATTTAACCTTGACATTTTCACACAGTATGTCTTTTTCAATTACAAAGATGACAAAAAACAGAATCGAATTAAACCGACAACATAAAATGAAACAGTAATGTTGTATGCAGTGGGATGCTCATGACCTTCAAATTTTTCTATAACATATCATCTTTTTCAGAATCATTTTTCGTGTATATGAGTCTTAATAAATACTTGTCTAAGGGTTTGTTTTGCAGCTTTAAAAGTCTAATTAAAGTGAAGGGAGCATTAGAAATAATAATAAGAGTTGATGTTCAAAATGTTTACTGTCAAAAAATTTGTCTTGTTAAGGGTATAAGAGGTTTAACAGATTTATTAATAAGTAACCATTTTTGGTCATATATTGACTAATTCAGACCAGCTTATCTAGACTGGTGAAAAGTAATTAGCTAGAACAGTAATCAGTCCCTATATATTTGTATTTATAACCATTTTCAAGGATGGTTATAGAGGAAACTTTTATTTTCATAATTTAAGCTAACGTATCTTAAATATATCGTCACTATGATCTTTTTTCCTGTGTTTTCGCAATATAAGAAGTATAGATATCAACTATTTCGCACCAACATTTACTAATAATGCATACTATATAGCTATGATAAACGAAGTAGAAAACGATTTTACCACATTTTAAGTATTTGTTTGAAAGCAAGATATTATCTCTTTTCATGGAAGAATAAATTACCGTAAAGTCATGCAAGTTTGTTCACAGTTATACAACAAATGAATAGTCGGCTTGTGGCGTATTTTCTCAGAAACTTTCCGTACAAAAATAACATAGTAAGAAACAAACAAAGAGCATAAAGCATCATCAAAAAGATAAAGTTATTTAACAAACATAACCTGGGCCTCGGACATTAGACTTTCAGTGAGGTATTTACTGCTACTTGTTCTTCAAAATTTGCCAAACTACAAAAGGCAGAAATGAAAGCATTTTATGTTGCTTTAGGTGGTTTTGTTTAATATATTAAAACAGAGATGAAAAAATAAATTACAAATCTTAAAATATACTTGACACATAGGGAGCTCACCCGTCTAACTACTTACCACAGTTTACCATGTTCTCTAGGAAGCTTTGTATAAACTAGATTATCAGAAAACTAACTATATTTCTCAAAAATCAGTCCAAAGTTTATGTGAGGAGTGTAATTTTACTGCAAATTTATGATCTTTTTGACCTAACGAAACAAAACATACAATCAATTTATTGTAAGAGTAAGTAATTACCTCATCTGTTACTGAAAAATTAAGGTGAAATATGGCGTTACAAATATTCATGTTGTTCTCAGTAATCACTTACATGTATATGTATAAGTACATTGATAACCAAACATAGAGGCTTTTACATCTGACAGCTTCGGTGTATAGAGACTGTACAAACGGAAAACAAATTTGATTCGAAGTCACAGTAATAAATAAAATCTTTCTGAGAACGCAAACTTTTTTGAAAAATGTTGTTCACTGCTGCCAAAACCAATGAACTTGGTTATATGGTTCGTACTTCCCATGATAGACTAGAATAATAGTAAGTCATCTGACCAGTAAACACTAAATATTGTCTTAGTTTTTTTTTCACTTTCCACACACAGATTGAGATTAGGTTAAAATAGAGACTGACACACTAGGCTGTCGTTCAGATCGAGAGATCTCGGTATCAAGTGGTCTTAGAAAGATGTAAACCTCAAGGTTGGACGAACACAAGGAATACCGGCCAAATAAAATTTGTCTAGGAAGAAGACTGCGGTTAGTTTTCTCCTCCATGTAAGAGTTACAGTACCAATGTTATCCTCCCCTGTATGTGAAAAATCCCCATAGTCTCCTTTTATATTTGGTCTTGTTATTAATCGATAATATCATTATAAACAAAATAATATGGAGCGAGAGAAAAGGTTAGAGTTTCATAAATATCTGAATAAATAAACATGATGGTCTAGCATATTTCATATGCCAGTGAATGCAAGTAAATGAATAATAGCCTATCTACTGTACAATGATGATCAAAAGTTCATTATTCGCCGGTATCTAAAAGTTATTTCACACTAATACTGAACTTATATTCTCTATGAAACAGAAATCGTATACATACAAATATATGCATAAATGGATTTTTACGTCAATACCTAACAGACGATATTTTAAACCTCATTTATCGTCCACAAACTATAGTGTAGTCTTAAATGAAACTCTGCAGAAGCATATTTGTGAAAATTAATGAGAAAAACATAAAAAGATACTAATATCATAAATTTAACTAAAGTGAAACATCTGAAAACCGAGGTGTGAAATTCGAATGAGCGACTCTAGTTTTTTTGTAAGCAAGTTGCTCAACAAGATAACAATATTAAATAGTTTGCTTCACGTCTGAGGATACCTTAGGTGAGGATATCTGGAAGAAAAGGAAAGGTAAAAAGTACTGAAAAATCAAAGAGAACATGAAATGCACTTATGTTCAGAAGAATAGCAAACGTTAACGAAAAACAAAGACACAAGTGAAAAGCCAAAACATCCTGAAAATTGAAACTTCGAGTTAGTAGAACAGGATATATAATGCCCGCTTATATATAGATTACTTGCAACTAACGGTCATTTCACTTAAACAAAAATAATTAGCATTGCTTTATCTAGGTTATGTGCTTTTTTGAAGTAACAAGCACTACGTTAGTAATAACGAAAGACACTTATCGAATGACTTGTAGCTATACGGAACAACGTGTGAAATCCATGATCTTTAAGATAACCAATGTATTTGGAGTTTGGAAACGCTTTAACCAGTAACACCTAATATGAATCGTGCCCACCTAATGAAATCAAAAGTCGGAAGCGACGGACTTCAAAGATATATTTGATAGGGTATCAATATATCGATTTTCGACTGAACTAGCCTGGCTAGCGATTGTAGGGAATGTCGAGCTCGACGTTCCCACTCGTGATCTGGTGCGAATGCGTGAACGAGCGACTTCAGCTGGGTGAGTCCATTGAAAATAATAAAGTGAGAAACCAATGTCGAAGACTTAAATAGCTACTTATTTTTGGGGACTTATTCACCGCTACAATCTTCATATATTTTGGGAACTATTGTAAGCCATTCGATTTATTTAAGCATGGGGCTTAGTGTTAAGTTTCGATTCTGGTGACGGCTGTCTGGTCACATGACAGTAATCACTGACCTAGACTACAGTTTTAAAAATCGTATTTATTCACTGAATGTATTTCAGCCGTACTCGTGGTTAGGTAGTCCATTTCAAAGTAAATAAACACGTTTTATCGAATTATTTTTCTTTTGAATAGTGACTTATATCTTTCTTAGCCTAAAATCAGCTTTAATTGTACTTTTTGGTTCGATTTTCTGGTGCAACATTTTGTTATGCTGCATTTCTGGTTAATATTTCGACAAAATGTGGGTCAACATTCTTTATGTATAATCTGACTTTATCGACTTTTCTAGATTTAAATGGATTTCCTTTTTTCGGATAAGTAAGTCTGGAGGGACTAGAGCTATCTTGCTGCCACACAGTCATCCGATCACTTATGTTCGGATTGGAAGGTAATAAAAATGTAGATTAAAAGGGGGCGGGAGGTTGAAATTAAAGGCCAAGCCAAATAAGCATGTAAATGATCACAAAATAATAATCGAACGGCCAAAATTAGAGGGGAATAAATAGGGTGGGATGGATCGATAAAAAAAAATAAGGAGAATAATACAACATCTCATTTGTAATGAAAGTCTGAATATTGTGTAGGATTGGGGTATAAACCATGATAATCTAAAAATTTATCAAAAAGGATATGATAACGATTGAATGAGAAACATGTGTAATTATTTCAAACTGTTTTGATTTTTTTTCAGTATACGTGAAACACGGGTAATTCACTGAAACAGCAATTCCAGCCAACTGATAGAATTGTTCACTGCAATCTCACCTTGTGTCTCCCGTTCTGAACATATTAGTATCCGACTTGATAAATGTCCGTCCTAATTCCCATATAGTTCTGGACTAGTCAGTTGCGGCAGCACGGTAGTGGATCCAGGTCAGTATTGCCACGAGGACATTGTGAGACCGGAGGAAAACAGAGTGTGAGGGAGCACTGTTAGCACGACGAGTTATGCACTCATGAATGGATTTCATAATCCTCCATTCCTTGCAAATTTATGTGACGAATCAGCCCACAGAATAATTGATTTTCTTGCTAAACCTAGGCACATTAAGTGCATGCAGTTTAACGGGAAGACCGAGGTCACGTTAAGGTCGAGCGTCTCAAAACATGAGATACCTTTTTGTGGATATTTTTGCATTGTTGGTGGAAATTCGTCGTACGGTGAAGCATAATCTGAGCGCGGCAAACGGGACGTTAATCTCAGGCTGAGGCCTATTTGTTATTTCGAGGATTCTCAAAGAGTAGGACGAATTAATTTCAGCTGCAATTACTGAAGACAACGCCTCTTAGAAACATCCTCGTATAAATGATATAGTTTTCAATATATTAGATTTCAGTTTAACATATTCATAACATATGATCATATGCATATAACTACATATCCATTTTGACTGAGAGAGCCGCAATCCATCAATGTCAAAAATATATATATATATTTGGTGAGGAATTGTACTTCAAATTTTGCGCATTATACCTTACATTGCGTTTGGATGCTATAACCAAATAACCCTCTAGAGGTTAACAACGACTGACGACGATATTATTGTTAGTGTCGATTGTGATAGTCGCTCCACATTGAGAAAAGGGACGGTACTGCATCGTTGTGGTTAGTTGTAATCACTTTCATTTAATTGTTTTTAGATGACTACCACGTAGCGGAGGAAATTGTTAGGATTTGAAAGCTAACGAGTTCACTTAGTTTGCGAACGAGAACGAGGTTCGATGATCGAGGTCCAGTGAGCTAGCTAATGAACGCGTCCCAGCCCCAGCTAATTAGAAGGAGAAGTCCAAGCTTGAAATAAGAAGTGTATTCTGCAGCAACCAGAGAAAAGAGCGAAGTCCCTTTAGTAGAAAATATACTCGTTTATATATTGATTGTACACCCGTTTTGATTAGTAATTAGGAGAAAATCACATACATGAAAAATACTCACAGTTATAACAAATGCTGAGTATAGTTCATAGTCAATGGAATACAAGAATATTGTATATTATACAGAATAAATATCATACGAGAAAAGAAAAGAAATATTACATTGCGTAATCATTACATTGAATCAAAAGAATGTAATGATGAATAAAACTCATATTAAGTAAATCAATCGAATATTGATTTTTCCTCTCATCATATCAGAAATGAAAGTTTGTTTAAACGCAGTACTCGGTTATAATAAGATAAGTACAACTGATGATGAAACGTTACCGTGTGAAACGGATAAGCCAGAAAGGTAATTTGTTCATCTTGCTAAATCTCTTTCTTTAGGACTTCTAAACGGAATTTCAACGATTATTTATGCACCTCTGAAGAACTAGAGGTTGCTGAGGTTGAAACTGGATTCGCCTCGGCCGACTTTCCAGTTGTCAACATTTTGATGGGAACATTTTCACCGATAGCGAAGTATGTACACATTGAATAAATGCTCATAAAGCAGTTCATCAAAAACAGAGGTTATCTCACCACCACTTCCATGTCCATCAACTGAAGTTAATAAACCGTAAGTTGGACTTCATGTAAACATAATAATAAAAGGTTGTGTAATGATGACAGCAAAATGTTGAAAATGATTGTGAAAGCAGTCTAGCAAGATGGATAAAGTGATTGCTTTCCTAGAACGCTCATCCATGGTTGTAATGGACAGACGTACCGACGAAATAGACACATCAACTATTGCTTTTCCATTGAAAACCCATTAAGATCTTCAT